TTTTCATTGAGTTCTGGCTATGTCTTCTACGTGCTAAATCCTTTGACACCGGTGTCATTTAGAGACTGGTACAGTTAGAAGGCAAGTTTATGGATTTATGGTCTCAGAACAAGAGTTTGGCAATTAGGAGCACAAAAGTGTTAACATGTGAAATGATTTCCATACCGTCTACTTAGATTACTCTGCAAATGGGGAAAGCAAATCTCACCTCAGTTATACCTAAATATATGTGCAGAACTGTGCTCTCCAACAGATAATATATTTTCAATGTTAGGGACAAACTTAATAACCTGATTACTGTTTCCTATAAGAAATCACTTTAACATTTGCAGCAGCGTGTTAGACTAAATCAGTACTGAGATAAAGTCCTCACATAGCTTGTATTATATTTATAATTTTGCACACAGTGCTCATTTCCTGATCACAAAACCTTTGTACAATCTTTGGCCAAATATTTAGGTCAATGCTCATCATTGTAAATTACTATGTCAACATTTCTCATTCAACTTCACAATATCGACTGTTCTGATGTGGTTGCATGGTCTGAACGAGGAGTTGGTCAGAAATCACATGACACTAGGTTATAGTCCAACAGATTTATTTGAAAACATAAGCTTTTGGTGCATAGCCGCTTCATCAGGTGAAGTGATAAAGCAGTACACGGAACACAGAATTTAGGTAAAAAATCAAAGGGTCGTGTGCGTGTGTGGTGTTGTGGGGTCACCTGCAGTGCGACATGAACCCAAGATCCAGGTTGAGGCCATCCTCATGGGTACCAAACTTGGCTATCAGCCTCTGCTCAGCAACTCTGCGTTGTGTATTCTGGGGCACTTTTACCTGAAGATTAGAGGCTGACTGTCCTTGACTGCTGAAGTGTTCCTCCACTGGGAGGAAACATTCCTGTTTGGGGATTGTTGCACGGTGTCCATTCGTCTGTTGTCATAGCGTCTGCACAGTTTTGCCAATATACCATGCCTTGGAAAATTCTTGCCTGCAGCGTATGAGCTAGACAACTTTGGCCAAGTCACATGATTATCTGCCGCGCACGTTGTGAGTGGTGTTCCATGTGTGATGGTAGTGCCCATGTTGAAGATCTGGCATGTCTTGCAGAGGTTGCCATGACAGGCTTAGGGTTAGAGTTGTATAGTGTTGTGGTTGATGTTGTCCTGAAGGCTGGGTATTTTACTGCAAACAATTGTCTGTTTAAGGTTTGGTGGTTGTTTGAAGGTGAGAAGTGGAGGCGTGGGGACAAGGTGCTCATTGTCATCGATATTGTGTTGAAGGCTGCGAAGAACATAGCGTAGTTTCTGCACTCCCCGGAAGTACCGGACGACGAAGGGTACCCTATCGGTCGTATTCCATGTCTGTCTTCCGAGGAAGTCATTATGGTTTTTTGTTGTGGCATGTTGGAACTGGTGATTGATCAGTTGAGCATTGTATCCTGTTCCTATGAGGGCATCCTTCAACACGTTTATGTGTCTGTCGCATTCCTCCTCATCTGAACAGATCATGTGTATGTGTAGGGCTTATCCGTAGGGGATGGCTGTTTTAATATGTTGTTTCGAGTGAAAGCTAGAGAAGTGCAGCATCGTGATGTTATCCGTAGGCTTATGTTAGAGTGAGGTATTGAGATGTCCACCTGATGATGGAGATGCGCAAGTCCAAGAATGAGACTGACGATAAACAGTAGTCCCTGGTAAATCTGATGGTGGGATGAAACTTGTTGATATCGCAATGTAGTTTTTTCAGTAATTCCTCACCATGAGTCCAAAGGAAGAAAATGTCGTCAATGTATCTGCTGTATAGTGTTGTTTGGAGGTTCTGTGCTGCAAAGAAGTCTTGTTTGAACCTGTGCATGAAAATGTTGCCATACTGGGGTGCAAATCTGGTTCCCATGGCCGTTCCATGTGTCTCGATGAAGAACTGGTTGTTGAAGGTGAAGACGTTGTGATCCAGGATGAAGCGGATGAGTTGTAGGATGGTGTCTGGAAATTGGCAATGGATGGTATTGAGTACGGAGGCTGTTGCAGTGATGCCGTCATTGTGGGGGATGCTAGTGTAGAGTGCCAAAACATCCACTGTGACGAGTAATGTTCCTGGTTTGACTGGTCCATGGATGCTGAGTTTCTGTAAATCTGTATTGGCGCGACAGCTGCTGGGTGTTCCCAAGATGCCTCATAGGAAGAGAAGCCTCAAATCTAACATGCAATGTTTGACCTAAAATGTCACTTCTTCCCTTCCCTGATAAAACCTTTCGTTCTCCCAGGACAGCGACTTGAAAGAAATTTGGATATTTACACATTCATATTAATGAATTAAAACCTTCTAACTGATTAAAGATTTATTAGCCATCTTAGGTTTGTTTAATACATACCCTTTGATCTTTTACTTCTAAATTCTGTGTTCTGTGGGCTCCTTTCTCACTTCACCTGAAGGGGCTATGCTCTGAAAGCTTGTGTTTTCAAATAATCCTGTTGGACTATAACCTGGTGTCATGTGATTTCTGACCTTGTCCACCCCAGTCCAACACTGGCACCTCCACATCATGAGCATGGAGTAGCTTCAGGAGATGAATTACTGAAGGCACTTCCCAAGCCCATTGCCATCCAGAATATCAAATAATTTACATTTATCATCTGACCATAAGTATTGAGACAGCACATTTACTAGCATAGATTAAATATATACCCAAACAATGGTTTTTCAAGCAAAATTAATATTAAAACTTATGGATGCTCAGATTAAATGATCTGACTCTTGGATGGTTCCTAATTGTGTTGTATTGGTTTACATTTATAGAAGACAATCTCCTGTTACCACTAAATATCATTAAGGAGAAAACTTTGAACAGCACTTAATAATGGTAAATTTGCGTTTTTGGGAAACTCAAGGGAGAGTTGCATCTGAGGTTAAACTGTTAACTTGGAATTCTAGCCCTGCTTTGATGGTTTAAGATGTTTCTTTAACCCTTCAAAGGGTCTAAATTCATAAGCATGCTAATCCACAATCTAACCAAGGTGCTACAATGAAAACAATTAAATTTGTCTTCAGCCCCTCATCGTCTGTGTGTGTTAGTCATGAACCACAGTACAACTTTCCATCTCAGGTCCTTGTAATTTAACTTTAGGGGAGGCATAGTGGTTAGCACTGTTGCCTCACAGCGGTAGAGACCTGCGTTCAATTCCACCCTCAGACAACTGTCTGTGTGGAGTTTGCACATTCTCCCCATGTCTGCATGGGTTTCCACTGGGTGATCCGGTTTCTTCCCACAGGCCAAAGATGGGCAGGGTAGGTAGATTGGTCAAGCTAAATTACCCAGAGTGTTCTGGGATGTGTAGCTTAAGTGTGTTAGCCATGGGAAATACAGGGAAAGGGTAGAGGGATGGGTCTGGGTGAGATACTCCTCAGAGGGTCGGTGTAGACTTGTTGGGCCGAAGGCCTGTTTCCACACCGTAGGGATTCTATGATAGTGATTCATACTGATGACTTGGGTGAATAAAAGAATGATTTTATTGTCATTTATATTTTACAGTGAGGGGAAAAAGTGGAAAAAGCTTTTCCACTGTTACCACGATCTGGCACCATTTTGAATAGTTTTAAGAATAAGAAAAAAAATAGAAAGGTATAGCTTAAAGAGAGTCCAACATCATCAAGAGAGGCTGGCTCATCATCAATGACACCTGTCCTGCCATTACTCCTCCACCACCTCACTGCCGTCTACACTGGGTCCAACCAATGTTGAAGTTGTCACTCTTCAGGTGCCATCTTTCGCCACTGTGCCAATTCTCCTCCACCACCATCTTACCACCACCTGCACCGAACCCACCAATATCAGCATTGCATCTCTTGCTACTGGGCCCACTTCGTCAATATTGCTGTGATGTCCTTCCACTAGCGCCAGCGCTGGACCAAACCAATGACCAAGTAACTAATCCTCAGGCAGCATCTTTTGCTGCCGGGCCTACCTCACCGACGTTGCCTCCGCCGACGTAGCAGTCACTGATTGAGATGCCAGGTTCTGTGTTCACCCTGGAAAAGTAAGTACGAGCTCACTCGCCATCAACATGAGGTTCGCACTGGGCTCACTCGTTGATTGGGGAAGGTGGTAACCAGAGTAGGTAATATGAGTGATAGTCTGGCAGTAGCACAATATAAATGTAACAGCAAGAGAAGCACTTATTAGAATACATTTTAACTTAAAAATAGCTGTAAATTGGCATAAACTTCAGCAAACAATTGGGACCCAAGGAAATACATTTTGCTTTCAGTTTTAAGATCTAACCTTTCAATTAATTTACCCACTCTTCATGTGCATCAGGCATTTTAAATAACCTGCAATTGCTGAAGCTTTTCAGTTTTTTTTTATTTTTGACATATACTTTGTTGTAAAAATGTATTCAAATGAAGAATATACAGCTGCAGATCTCAGTCAGGATAAGTTTTCAAAATTTGTCAATGCAAGTCTGAAAAAGATAATTTCGTTTCTTGTGGCACCTTGAAACCTGGAGGCAACGTGAGAACACCAAATAAGCACTAGTAGGGGATCCCTCAATTGGCGATTCAGTGTGATATAGCCAGTTTTGGGGCAGGACTTTTTTTGGATGAAGAATTTGATGGGCAGACTTAAAACAATTTTGAGCTTAAGTTTCTGTAATATTTAAAAAAGAGGGTTGACAATCATATGTCTTTTGATTGCAGACACGGAGACAACTCCACATAAAGGAGGTGAAGTTTATTCTAAAACTTCGGACTGTTTCTACGTTGTTGGAATATTTGTACTCATTTACTTATTATTTGCTGCAATTTATTTCCGAATGTATTGCAACGCAGTTAGGTGATTCTGGTCCCATTACGAAGATTCACGTTGGGATGAGCGCCTGGTTTACAAGACGGTGAAATCCTGAACCTTTCAAGTAACTGATCGCGTAGCCGGCAGAAGGACAAGGCTTGCACACACAAGCAGCCACATGGGACCCGTCCATATCAGGGAAGGTGGTAACTCCATCCGGAGCTGCTACGTCATAAAATACGTCGTAATCTCGGAGATGGATTTGCAGAGGGAGTAATGCAGACATTACCGGACATAGAGTACGAGGCGATCAGCGTTTGCTGGGGCTTGCAGAGCGGAGAGTTTTCATTGTGATGGAAGACCAAGGGAGGGAAGATGAGAGGAGCCTGTTCCACTGAGAACTTTGTTGTTTCCCCGGATTTCCAGATTTAGGCTCGGAGTCCGCACCCACTGCTGCCTGAACACGGTGTGTATGTGTTGGGGAGGAGAGTGAGTGGGGCTGAGACCAGAGGCTGCACTGATCGATGTTTCCTCACTTGCAGGCGGCTTTAGCATTGCGGGTCGAGCGAAGTTGTCGACAAGGGCGAGACTTATGCCGATCCAAACCACCAAGGTGGCAGATGAAGGCACTGCGAACTCAGCGAGGGAGAGGGACGAGTGCAGAGCCCTGGTAGACTCGCTGAACAAAGTGACGGGATGCTACAGGCACCTGGCCATGGGGCTAGGGGGCTCGGCGGACTGCAGCAACCTGAGGGATGAGCTCAGGAGGACGAGGGAGAAGACCCAGGACCTGGCCGGACTCATCCGTAACAAACTGACGGCGGTGCTCCGGGACAAGAAGCTGAGCAAGGAGGAGCGAACCGAGATGGAGCGACTCTGGGTCATCTTCTCCTCCAACCTGGAGACCTTTCAGATGGATATGTGTAAAGTGTTAGAGCTGGGCCAGAGCTTCCCCCTCTCGGGAACAGAGAAGCCCTTGATCCAAACCGGGATGTCTGGAGGAACCTCGGAGGTGGCAGCCCGGGCTCTGAGTGTCCAGAACATAGTCCACGACCCGGCACTGAACGTGGAGAGGCTGGAGCTGGAAGAGCTGGAGGAGCAGATCGAGAAGGTGGACAAAATGATGGAGAACATGGAGATGAAAGTCAACGTCCTGAGGTGGACGGTTGAAGCCAAAGGAGACACGTACCATTCCGTGCTCAGCACCGACGCCTCCATGATGGCCCTGCTGTCGGAGGAGGAGGAGATGCGGCGCAACAACCGGTGTTGTGACCGCGAGAAATGTCTTATGTCCGTGCTGTTCTGCATGGTGGCTCTGATAGCCGTGGTATTGTCAGTCTGTGTTGCGAACCTTTCATGACCGATGCCCCCACCGACATCCGCAGAATTTAGCGGGGCTGATTGACTTTGCATTTCCCTGTGCACACATGAAGGAGAAGCAGACCCCGAATTCTTTTTCGAAGCCCTGCATAGACATGGCAAGCATTTTTTTTGTGGGGGAAACGTTTTCTTAGTCTGTATGCCAAACAAAAGCAAAACTGAGTTGAGTAGGGCTTTAGCAGCTGTGATTGGCTCTCGTTTTGTACAACGTCTGAAAGTAATGTGATTACATTTCATTGACAGCTGAGCTCAATTAAAAATCATAAAAGGTAAAAACAATGACACTTTTCTGGCTTTTCAAGAAATAGTGGAAAATAAAGCTTTAAAAAGACTGGGGAAATGTGGACTTTTTAAAAGTGTCACTCAGTTGTTCACATAGGAAGAGATTAATAATGATTAAAATGAATTTACATGCTGAAGAACTGTTTGATATATCTCACTTTAAAAGGTCAGACAGATTTTGTTTGTGATTATTTTTTATTACAAGCTGCTGTAGCTAATTCAGCTTTTTTGTAACAATTACTGTTTTAAAGTAAAACTTAAAATATGGAAGGTGGAAATTTAGAACAGCTAAACCTACTTAGCAGATAACAGGGATTAAGGACAGTTTAATTTAAAGGACTAGACTGCATTAATACAGGATGGGTTTTAAAACTATTAAAAATATCCATGAGATTGATTATGACAAAAGGAATGATGCTAAACATCACTTTTCTGCTGTATTAAATCCTAAACATTTACTGACATTTTGTTATGTCTTATAAAAAATGCAACAAGTCGTCATGATCTGAAATGTACTGCCTAAAAGGATGAAATCAGATTCAATAGAAACTTTCAAAAGGTGATCAGATGTATAATGGAAAAAGAGATATTTGCAGTATGCTGATTGAAGAGTGGGAGATTGGAATAATTAGATAGATCTCTTGAAGAGGTGGTGCAGGTATGATGTCCCTTCTTCTGAGCTGTAAGATTCTATGTTTCTCTGATGAAGAGAGGGAACTTTTCAGTCCATAACATCCATTAGCTTCATGAGCAAACAAATTGTGTAGTATGATACTCACCATCGCAAACAATGAAAGTATAGTTCTGGAGAGAAACTAAACAATCAGCACTCACAACAGTTACATGTGATAGGATTAAATATTGGGAATCCAGATACAGAAATCAATGGACCTAGCTGTATTAGCTGCCACTGGCAGCTCCTCATTAGTAAACTGAGCAGCATCCCTGCCTGTCATGCAGGAGACTAGGGTTCAATTCCCTGACAGGGAATGACTGATATCTCTGAGATGGGCCATATGTAAGTTAGGGAATGTTTTATAGGATAAATATGAAATACATTGTGACTGGTAGAACCCAAGAAAGCACCAAGTATCAGAGGGGCCTTGGTGTTAATGTACACAGTCCCTTAACTTATCAGGACAAGTGGATAAAGTGGTTGAGAAGGCCTATGTTATACTTACTTTTATCAGTTGAGACATTCAGGTTAAGAGCAGGAAGGGTATGTGAAATTGTACAAAACATTGGTTAGGCCACAGCCAGAGTGTTATGTAGGGTTCTGGAAACCACAAGAGGAATGTGCTAGCACTGGAGAAAGTGCAGAGGAGATTTATCAGGATACTGCCTGAATTGGAGAGTTTCAGTTATGAAGGAAGATTGGACAGATTGTTTTCCTTAAAGCAGAGGAGATTGAGATGTACAAAATTAAGAGGGGGGTATGATCATGAGGTAGGATCGACAGGGATAAACATTTCCCTTTGATGAAAGAATCAATGACCAGAGGACACAGATTTAAGGTAAGGCGCAGAGGTTTAGAGGAGATGTGAAGAAAAACTTTTACACCCAGAGGGTGGTGGGATTCTGGAACTCATTGCATCTAAAAGTGGTAGAGGCAGAAACCCTCATAACATTTAAGAAGTCTTGAGACATGCACTTGAGCTGCCAAGGCTATGGGCCAAGCGCTGGAAAATGAAATTAGAATAATTAGGTGGTTGTTTTTGACCGTGATGAATGCAGTGGGTTGAAGGGATTTTTTCTGCAGATCTCTATGAACTTAGCACACAAACTATCAGTCAAAATTGTCAAATCATATTTGTGTAACACAAAGCTGGCACGCAAAATCAAAAATAGTACCTTTGGTGGTGACCCTGATCTCTGCTGTTGTGAAGGGCAATATTCTTTGTTTCTGTGATTTCGAGTAAGGCACAGAAAAATAAAGTCTGCTTCTGATTTGCTTGAATTGTACCTGTAGGACAACCTAGTGATGACAGGATCAAGCAAACCTGTGATCCCTAAAATGGTTGAATAGCCTGCGAAAACTTACTGTCAGTGTTTACATTGGAAAGATAGATACCTGAGCAAGATATCAGCTTGCTGTTGATGTCTGTGGAGCTGTATCACAGCATAAGTGAACACCTTAAGAGGAAATTAACTTTGTTAAGTTGAAGTAAAACAATATTTGGAACTTGATCCTTAAAGCTCCTGCTGCTTTGTTTATTTGAGGATTTACTACAAAGTTATACTACCACTTGCATGTCAATCATACACACCAAATTGGCTTGCAGTAGCTACAGCCAATAATATCCAAATCAGGAGTTTAGTTATTATTCAAATCTACCACTTCTAAAAGCAGGACTGATATACTTTAAGTATGCTATTGAATATGATATTGTATGCAAGTAGCATCAACATTAGGAAAAGAATAAATTAAACATTTTGGAAGTAATACAATGCTTGATACACAAAGGTGCATCAAGGGCGGCACAGTGGCTCAGTGGTTAGCACTGCTGCCTCACAGCGCCAGAGACCTGGGTTTGATTCCACCCTCAGGCGACTGTCTGCGTGGGTTTCCTCCCACAGTCCAAAGATGTGCAGGCTAGGGGGATTGGCCATGCTAAATTGCCCATAGTGTTCAAGGATGTGTAGATCAGGTGGGTTAAAGGGGGATGGGTCTGGGTAGGATGCTTTGAGGTTCTGTGTGGACTTGTTGGGCCAAACGACCTGTTTCCACACCAAAGGGATTCAATGAAAAGGTGCTTTCTTTAATCAAATATCAAAACTACTGACTACAGAGGGTTAACAAAGGGCATAGATTTTGTTATTAAATGAGCATTCCATTTGCAGAGATAAATCACTTTGAAGTGTTCAAGATGTAAAAGATAAAAATGTAAGTCAAACATGCCATCATTGCCACAAAGTTGCAATAAATAGTAACTTTAAATGAGCAGCAGCAAGAAAGTGAATTAAATAAAGGTTCTAATCCAGAAAACACCTAACAGTGCAGTAAATGTTCTACAAAAGAAAAGTAAACACAATAACAGCTACAGTAAGAGGGTTCAAAAAGTACGGGTCAAAACTCTTTCTTAGTGTGCAATTACAAGTTTGTAAAACAGTTTATTTATATTAATAGAGTATATAATCAGATGTATTCAAACTATACGAATTACTTTCACTGACACAACCAATACTTTTGTATCTCTAATCAACCTCATTAAGTTCACTCCTAAATTCACAGAAATGTTGAAAATAGTCACAAGTGTGATCATCTAAAGCCAATGAAGACATAAACCTCACATTTTGTTGCCGCATAGAGCAAGATTCTACAGTTTATTTCAGATCCTCCACAAGGCTTTAATGTAAGGTGGCATTTGTACTATGTATATGTAGACTTCGTTCATGACTCTTTATAGGATAAAAAGACAGTGATCACTGTTGCAAACAGTAGAATTTAGGCTGGATGTAAAAGGTGGAGATGTTAGAATTAGTCTCAACAGTAACCAGGACTTAGATTTCAAACAAGAAACAGAAAAATTTTAGAATATTATTAAAAGAACTTCACTTATTGTATTTACATTTTATGGTAGTAGATTGCCTTTAACTTTGTTCACAGTCATAAAATTAGTATAGTTTTTTTAGTATATAGGATGACAATGGGTTTAGAGAGGTTTCAAAAACTTAGTCCATTGTACCATCTAGTGGACATAACCTATGTTGTAAAAGCTGCAAAATTATATAGGAATTGTTGACATTTTGAATCTGCAATTTTGGAATAAAGGAGTGATCAGAAAATTGTGACAACAGGAAGTCAGAATGCATTGTAGCAGCATGAAACAGCTAGCTTCACCTGTTGCTCAAACCTTTTACATACCTTATCTGAGATAGGCTGGACATACAGAGAGGGAAGTGATCTATGCAGGATATGCATTACACTGCAGGATGGCATTGATACACCCTATTTCAGCATCAAACTTGCATGGTGAACTAATGGATTAGGCCCTAGATAGTAGGCTGCCAAGAAGGTCTGTTTTATAGCATGTGTAACAATAGGAATCCAAATGGATATAATGGCCAGTGAAGGTAGGCTTGTGGTAGGATGTCAAGGAAATAGTACTCATTTGACAGCTCCATTTAAAAAGCTGAAGTTGAACACAGGATGAAGCCCATTGAGAAGTGTAAGTAAATTCTTACATGCAGCTGCAGATTTAAATGTACTTTGATATTTCTTGTGAATTGTCCTGATGAGTGCAAACTGAAAAGCTTTGACAAAGTGTGTCTTTTTTCCAGCAATACTGACGTTCTATACCAACAAACAACTATTTATAATGCCACAGGGAAAAAGAGTAAAACTCAGAAAAAGAAGAGTCAGAGATGACCACATGATTATGAAGAACAGAAGAGAATTAGAAGCATAATGAGACATTTTCCAGAGGTCAAAGTTGGAGGAGAACTGGAACAAAACAAGCTTTTCTCTCAGGAAGTGAATGGAATTAAGAGAAGTTGTTCAAAAAGAGGGAAGTGAAAAATAATATAGGAGGGTGACAATGTTGAGCTGGTGTAAAACAAAGAAGCAGATGAACTGGAGAACATTCAGGAGACAGAGGATCAAGAAGAAATTATGGCTGTATGGAGTAAAATGAAATCAAATGGGCCAAAGAATATGATATCGTTCAAATTGTAGAAGGTATCAAAATTATCATGGATAATGAATAGGAACTGTGTGGGCCAGGGGCACAGAATGAATCTTAGATCAGAGGAAATAACATTTATGGTCAGGAGCATGCAGAAATGAGTCTAAAGCTGCATTCATTAAAAATTTTAATAAGTTAATTACAGTATTTTGCACGACAAGAATAACTTTATATAGCATAATCTAACAATACTTCATGGAAATAATATCAACGAGCTGAGGAATTGGTTTGATACGTGTGAAAGTCAACCACCCAGATTTACAAATGGAGATGTGGGCCAATACAACTGCACAAGGAAAGATGACTGAAAAGACACAACCTCTGAATTGTTGAAAGAAAAATTACAATACAAAATGAAGGTGACAAAGATGAGGATTTCTTACAACTAATAAAGAATTTTGCAGGTGTACATGCTGTTGTAATGTAGGGAGATGGAGAAACGAATTTACACACAATGATAAAATGATACTTACAATGTTACTTAAGGATTAAGGCTAACCAGAACACCAGGAGAACTCATTGCTTATTTTCTCAAACAGTGGCTCTGGACCATTTTTGTCGATCTGAGGATACAAATGGTGCCCTGATTTAATGTTTTATTCTAAAAATAATATCTCAGACAGTGCATTGCATCATTCCTTCATTACTGCATTGAATAATGTGCTGAAGGCCATGGAAAGGGACTTGACTGCTAACACAGAACACAGGACAGTAAAATAGACAACTATTGCAGACCAAAAGTGAATCTCCTATTCAGCATAAAATAAACATGATAATAGAAATATTTTTAAAAAGGATAAATTTAGCATGTAACATACTCGACTATAATAAAAGATATGTAATCAGAAAATTATACGAAGTGTTGTATGCCTCAAAGATGATATGGTTAGAAGTCACACAAAACCAGGTTATAGTCCAACAGGTTTATATGAAGTCACAAGCTTTTTGAGCACTGCTCCTTTAGCACACTCCGAAAGCTTTTGATTTTAAATAAACCCGTTGGACTAGAAGCTGGTGTTGTGTGACTTCTGACTTTGCACTACCCAGTTCAACACCGGCACCTCCACATCAAAGAAAATAAACAGATATAGATGAGTTGAATTTACCTGAGTGTTTGTAATATTCTACATTTAAACGGCTGAGGAGCTAATCAAGGAAAATGGTTATGTCTGAAATATTTTATTCCCCAACATTATCTTACTGTCAAATTGTTTTAATATAATATGTAATTTCAACTTTATTGCCAAATAAGAACAGAAGTTTTACATGTTGCAAGAGCTATCCAAGAATGGAGTTACTGTTCAAATGAGAAGGCAAAATTCTGACAGTGTTCAACCTAGGGAACTGCAAACGATCTATTTAGATCCAAGAATGATACATAAGAAGATTTTCTAAATGATGAAAAACTAGTAATTGTGGAGGAGCAGTAAGATTTAGGGTTCAGGCAAATAAATCACTAAACACTGGTAAGGAGGTACAAAAACAACTAAAACTGCTAATACAATGATCAACAGTCTTAAGTATAAATGAATGGAAGTTATATTACAATAGTATAAAGCTCTGACTGGACTACATTTAGGATACTGCATTTAATTCTGGACCACACCTCAGGAATTATGTGCTGACCTTGGAGGGAATGCAGAACAGATTCTGGGCTAAATGATAGCTGGGATAAAAGAGTTGTTACTAAATAAGAAACTGAATGAACTGCAGTTGCTAGAAATCAGAAATAAAAACAGAAATTGCTGGAAAAAAACTCTAGAAGTTCTGAAAAATGGTCACTGGACCCGAAACATTAACTCTGATTCCTCTTCATAGATGCTGCCAAACTGCGGAGTTTTTCCAGCAATTTCTGCTTGTGTTTGTCGAAGAGTTGTTATTCCTTTGAGAATATACGTGTTGAACAAATCAATATGTTTAAGGTGCTGAAAGGAGTTGGAATGAGAGAGAAACTATTTGGTTTGGCAGAGGAGTTCAGAATGAGGGGGTGTAATCTTAAAATTAGAACTAACATATTCAAGTGATGTTTGAAAGCACATTTTCAAGCAAAGCATACATAGCAGAAATCTGGAACTCGCTCTCTCTAAAAACTAGATTGGTAAGAATATTAAAGGAAATAAAATTAATATGGGTAAATTGCAGATCTGCCATTAAATAACTGAACAGGTTTGACGACTTCAATTCCCTAGTCCTATTTCTATGTTTCAGAATTCAGAAACAATCCTGAACAGAATCCAAAGGTTCCAAAACTCATTGATATTTCTAAATCTGTCAACTTTTTTCATTGGTAAAGTTTTATCTTTATTTTAAGTTTCCGTTCACAGTCAAACATACAATTGTGACTGAAAGTCTGTGCGGTATTTACAAAATACATTGACAGAATTGCCATCCTTTGAGGTGAGATGTTAGAATTAAAAATTGAACGTAAAAAATTCCTTGGTTCCATTTAAGGAAAGTTAGGAAATTCTCCTAGTCACCTGATAAAGATTCCTTCCTCAATCATTGGCATAAACAGGCCCCCACTTTCACTTAAATTACAAGTTACTATATTGCTAAAGGTAATTTACTGATTGCAGAATACTTTGTAATGGTTCCAGAGACATTGACACATAACATTCTCATTCTTGTTTTCAAGTCGCTCTTTGGCCTTGACCTCCCTATTTCTGTATTTTCCTGCAGCCTTACAACTCTCCATAACAGCGCTCCTCTGATTCGGGCCTTTTGAACATCCGCAATTCTAACTGCTCCCTCATTAAGTTGCCTGTGCCCAAGCTCTTAAGTTCCATCCCTATAACTCTCCACTTCTTTAAAACATTCCTTAAAACCCACCTCTTTGACCAGAAATTTGATCATCTGAGTTATTATCTCCTTATCTTGGCTCAGTGTCATATCTTATTATTTTGCATCATCATTGGCTGTCCCTCCATTGGAGGATGACATCTATTCAGAGTTGCATATTTCTGCCCCAGGTCTTCACATAACTGACGAGGTGACCAACTGTCCCTAAATATCCAATATAATCCCATAATTTGGCCCTTTGTCCCATGTCCCAAGTATATTGAATGGTTCTCTATGTGAATGTGCTGCCTGTGGCAGATTCGTCGCCAGTTAATGGGAATACAGAACAAGTGTGTTGGGGCATGTGAAACTCGTGCTAGAAAGTAGTATCATCATGTTTGGATTGGGTGATGTATTCGCCCCCTTAGTTGATTCACCAGGACTCACAATTGATCTATTCTACCAGCATACACTGCAAACTCCAAACTCTCAGTCGCATTAACACCACTTTATCCCAGTCTTATGGCTCCAGTGACCCCACCTCAAGGTATTTCCAGCACTTCCCTGTCTGTTGAGTCTCTTTTTTTCCGAACAAGAGTTGGTCACCCTGATGGCTGAACAAATACGACCATCAAATCTTTGACACCAAATCTTCGGCACGTGGATCAGATTCCAGAAATTAGGATTTTGCTTCCTTTTCTGCTGCTACTCGACATGATGGATAGTTCAAAAGCATAATGGACATAAAGGGAAAGTGCTGGAGAAACGCAGCAGGTCTGGCAGAGTTAACGTTTCCAGAGATAGTAAGAACTGCAGATGCTGGAGTCGGAGATGACATAGTATGGAGCTGGAGGAACACAGCAGGCCAGGCAGCATCAGAGGAGCAGGAAAGTTGACGTTCCGGGTCGGGACCGTTCTTTAGTTTCTTTTTCTCTCAACAGATGCTGCTAGACCTGCTGTGTTGCTCTAGCACTCTGCGTTTTTCTTTCAGTTTCCAGTATCCGTAGTTCTCTGTTTGTTTTAATGATGTTTTCGTTTTTTTGAGCAATTAATAAGAAACTCTGCTATGTCATTAATGTCAGTTCTGCCGCGCTTTTAACTGTGATTTAGTTTTTCGAAGATACCCTATTTTAAAAAACACCACACAACTGATTCACCTACGTTAGCAGGCGCTACATAAACGCATTGTTGTTGACCAAGAAGCGCCTCCAAAGTGTTAATGCCGTCATGCATCATCAATAAGCATCAGGCGTCAGTGCGGGCACACGCAGCGTGGTGACGTCTGTGATAGCGACAGTTAGGGGTAGAAGGATAGGGCGGTGATGTCAGTGGCTAGGGTTCCAGGCTTTGTCGACGGTTGTCAGGTTGTGGATTTGGCTTCTCGATCCAGGATCTGTTTTACGACTGCTCACATAGGCAATGGTGTTAGTGAACTTAGCATCAGTTCAGCACGCTCAGTAGGACGGCTCGGGCGGGGATGTATCCAGGTGCTCCTCCACAGGATGAAGCTACAGCCAAGCCAGCGCCGGGATCTGCTCAGGAGAGGTGAGTTGATTTGTAAAAGGGTGTTCCTGCCCACCAATGACAGTTACTTTTGCTGAAACTCTTTTAAAACACTTGAGTAGTTAGACCAAATTAAAGTAAATGGATCCAAATTAAACTGGTCGAGGTGACAGCACCTTTAAAGGGAGACAAAGGAAATAAAACATGTTTTAAACGAACAAAATCGAGTTAAAATGTCGTTGTACGTATTAGCAAAATGTATAGTGTGCGCAGAGTAAAAGTGCTCTCTCGCGGATGAAGACTGCAAACTTCAGGGCTTCACCGTCCAGTTCAATTTTGTAGTCTTATCACCTCTTCACATTAATTCCGTGACTCTAGCAATTCTGGTTATCTGTGCATTTTATGAGCCAACCAAAGCATATTATGGAGAAGGTTGGGAAAACTACGCATGCCTCATAACATCTATAACGAACAAGTTAAGCTTTGGGACGTAGACCCTTTTGGAAGAAAATACTTTTTTTTAAGAAGGTGAAAGACAGGATTGTCATTCTTTCTATGGTGGACACAAATCTTCAGTGGTGACTGCATTAATAGCACATCAGTGTTTTTCAGAAGTTGAATATTACTGGATAATTTCATGCTGCATGGGTTTTTTTCTTAATTGTAATTAAGCTTCCACACATGAGAAATACATGAAGGTAAAGGTTAATAAACTATAAGTAAAATGCAGAAATTAGCTAGTGCCAAATTTATTTTTTAAACAGGTGATGAAAATGTGAATGTCTTTCCAGAAGAATTAGGAGCAGGAGTAGGCAATTCTGCCCCCTCGAGTCTGCTGTGCCATTTAACATGAGCATGGCTGATCTAATCTTAACTCCTTTCCTGCCTACTTTCCATAACCCTTCAACCCAGTACTCGTTAAAAATCTTTGTCTCCTCCTTAAATTTACTCAATGTCACAGCATCCACCACACTGTAATAGTGAATTTCAGATTTGTGACCCTTTTGAGAGATGTAATTTTTTGTCAACTGTTTATATCTGCTACCCTTATCCTCAAGCTATGACCTCTCATTCTAGGTTGCCCTATGAGGAAACATTCTTTCTAAGTCTACGTCATCAATCCCCTTCAGCATTTTGCATACCTCAATTAGATCCCCTGTCATTCTTGTAAATTCTGGGGAGTAAGCTGTATAAATTGTTCAATCTCTCTTAAAAGGACAAACCTGTCACCTCTGGAATTGATCTCCTATGATCTGCCTCCAGTACAACTGCATCTATCCTCAAGGGAACCAAAATTGTATGCAATACTCCAGGTGCTGTCTCACTAATGCTTTGTACAGTTTCAGCAACACTTCCCTTTTATACTCCTCCATTCGTTTGGCAATACATGGCAAAATACCATTTGCCTTCCTTCTTATGTGTTGTACCTTCATACTAGTTTTCTGCGATTGATGCACGAGGACACCCAGATCCCTCTGCACTCTGAAGTTCCTCCATTTAAGTAACAAATTGTCTTTCTGTTCTCCCAACCAAAATGGATAACCTCATAGGTCCATGTTAAACTTCATGAGACAAGCCATTTGCTGTAAAGCATTTGGGTATCTCGGATGCAAATCCTTTTAACGTGCCCCTGATCTGATCAATTTTTGATGTTTTCTTTTTTAAAAAAAAAAAAAATCTCACAATTACAGGACCATTTTAAAGAGGAAGTTTTCTCCAGGAACGAGCTCTGCTTTTACACGTTCTTTCATCTGCCAGAATTTCTGCAAGTTGCACGTTAATTCTACACTAGCGTATTTTTGTAGATGATGCTTTTTTTTAAAAAAAAAAGCAGTAGTTTTGTATTGAGAATTAATGCTGCTAACTTGAACAAAACTGATATTTAATTCTTAAAAGGGAATGTTATGTTAAAGCAGTACAGTTATAAATTTTATGCAGACTTAGTAAAAACATTTTTCATACTGTCACTTTGCTCCTTGCTCAGTTGTTGTTAAGACAATACATTCCTGTGACTGCAGTTGGCCCAAGAACTTAACTGACGACATGAAATGAGGAAAAAAATGACATTTCATGAGGTTATGTAGCACTGAATCAACTTGATTGCCAAACAAATTCTGCAATTTAAGACAATGCAGGCAATGGAATCTGATGTCAATTAATGTTTGTCGAGGTTTTGTACCTCTGAACAAGTAAGAAAAATTGATTTTTTTTACACTTTTTGTAAGTGTCAATCCAAATATAAATAACGTTTTCTGGAAAAGGATGTATAAAATACTTCTAGCTCCCACAACCTTTCCCTTGTTGATTAATCTATCTATTGCCACCTTGTGTTGGGTTTCACTTCACAATCCTGTTAGATGAACAGAAAATGGTTGATCAGAGGACCAGACTTCATGAAAATCATTCTTTACATTGTTATGATAGTTTTTAGTCAAATAATGTTTTCTAGGAATACTCTTCCTTCCTGTCCTTTCCTTTCCATATCTCAAAAGATCAATGACAATTTGTCTAAATCTTGTATCAATTTCAATTTAGGGTTCACCACATCTGCAGCATCTTTGCAGTGTAACTTGAAGAAAGTGGATCTGCCTCCATTAGAAAGTCGAAAGTTCTTTTTTGACACTCACGCAGTAGTACGTGAATTGGAAGGCTATGGTAAATATAATTTTTGTTTGTATTTTCCTACTGCGAAGTTGTCTGGAGTTAATTTTTCTGTTTCACCATTGCATTTCCAATGGGGTGTTCTGGTGACGTGAAATGGGCCACTTGATTTAGATTTCTTGAAACGGAAAAGAAAAATATATTCTGTTGAAGCTCTTTGTCCTGTGTGTGTGTGATATATATAAAAAACTAGCGTCTTGGAAATTGAATCCAAAAGAATTTGGTAGGAAAGTGATTCCACCTAGAAATGGGATTTCCCAACCTGATATGAATATATCCTGCATGCTAGCATACAGGTTTAGCAGCTGATCAGGAAGGCAGATTTCTATTTCTGTTTTATTTCAAAGGGAATGGAATACTTAAATAGGGAAGTCCTGTTACAACTAAACAAAGCACTAAATAAATCATACCTAGAATACTGAGTGGTTTTAGTGCCCTTATCTAGGGACAGGAACTGCCTCCAATGTCAGTTCATAGAGGTTGACTAGGTTGATCCTAGATATGGAGGGATTTTCTTATGTTGAGAGGTTGAGTAGATTAGGCTCATACTTGGAGTTTACTTTTTGGAGTTTAGAAGAATAAGAGGTGACTTGATTGAAAAGTATGAGGATCTGAGGGGGCTTGTTAGGGTAGATATGGAGCGGTGGTTTCCTCTTGTGGGAGAGTTTAGACCAGAGGGTGTAATCTGAGGAGGAATTTCTTCTGAGGGGAGTGAATCTGTGGAATTCTTTACCACAGAGGGCTGTAGAGGCTAGTTTTCAAGTATATTCAAGGTTCAAATAGACAGATTATTAATCAATAAGGGAATGAAGGGTTGTGAGAAAAAGGCAGGAAAATAGAGTTGAGGATTGCCAGATCAGTCATGATCTCATTGAATGGCAGAGCAGACTCTGCTGAATGGCCTACTTCTGCACCTGTCTTCTGGTCTTATCAGAAGTCACATGACACCAGGTCTTGTGACTTCTGACTTTGTCCTCCCCAGTTTAACATCTCCACATTCTGGTCTCGTGACTAATCAGAGACCATTATGCATTGTGGCTGTATCAGTGGGAAGGACTTTCTTTTGTCTAACAGCTTACATGAAACTCAAAGCAATTTACAATGAAAAACATTTTTGAAGTGCAATCACTTTTGTAATAAAGAGGAAATGTCCAATAAATTTGCGCAGAAGTGGTTTAAAAATAGCATTGAGACACATGGCCAGATAATCTTTTGATGTTGCTAGGGGTAAATGGTGGCCAGGAGATGCAAATTCCCATGCCATAGGATCATTTGTATCTGTCAAAGGTGTTGTCAAGGCCTTGACTTAACATTCCAGCCAAAAGAAGGCAACCCCCTCACTGTTGCACTCCCTCAATTCTGCACTCGGTTACGTGTTTTCAGTTTGTTGAGTGATGCTTGACTTCAAATTCTGACTCTGAGGCAAGTATGCTCCCACTGAGCCAAGATCCACAAGTAAAAGGCTTGCATTGATTTGCATCTTTCATGACCAGAGGACACTCCCAATTGCTTAATGGCTAATGATGTACTGTGTAGTTACTATTGTAATGTTGAAAACATGGCAGTCAAATTGTAGATGGCAAACTTCTACAAACAGTTTTTGTGGGATATATATCCCTCAGAGCACTGAGCCCTGTACTGCATCAAAATTCTGTAATGGGATCTTTTACACTCACCTGGGAGGGCAGGCAGGTGCTCGGTTCAATATTTAGTCTGAAGATAGACATCTTCAATGGTGCAGTACTCTCTCTAGTACTGCATCAGAGCTTCAGCTTTGTTTTCTTTTTGACACAAAAGGTCCAGGAATTGGACCTGAACCTGCAGGCTTCTGACTCAGGAGTTCATCTACTGCGCTATGGCCTACACTTTTCATTTAGGACTGATCACATTATTGAGTAATCGGTGACACTCCTTTTAATCGGTATTTTACTTGCAGCAAGTATTATGGCATTTGTAGTTTGACAGTTATCAGTAAGAACTGGTGATATTTACCCATTACGATGTTTATGTGCCATTGCGTAGCAGAGGTCAACTTATCCTCAATGCAAAGAAGCAGTGTTGTCATATCCCTATTTATGTTGGAATGCATTTCATAGAGTTCCTAGAATCCCTACAGTGTGGAAACAGGCCCTTCGGCCCAACAAGTCCACACTGACCCTCGGAACATCCCACCAGACCCATTCCCCCTATAACCCACCTAATCTACACATTCCTGAACACTACGGGCAATTTATCATGGCCAATCCACCTAGCCTGCACATCTTTGGACTGTGGGAGGAAACCCATGTAGTCACGGGGAGAATGTGCAAACTCCACACACAGTCGCCCGAGGGTTGAATTGAGCCACTGTGCAGCCTGTGCTAAATATACATAATTTATCACAGCTTTTCCCTTGTGCTCCTGAAGGCCATGCAACCTTTTTTCTAAATTAGAGGTGGCATATAAATGCAAGATCCACAGCTGCTTTTTGTAGCAAAAACAAAGTTGCTGGAAAAGCTCAGCAGGTCTGGCAGCATCTGTGAAGGAAAAAACAGAGTTAACATTTTGGGTCCAGTGACCCTTCCTCAGAATTTGCTTTTTGTAGCATGTTTCATGGGATTATATGATTTGAAGTGTGTGTGCAGGGTTGATTGGACTGAGTGAATTCATTACATATTTTCCAATGTTGGAATAAACTACATCCAATTATAAATATAGTGTTCAGTTTTTTACAATTCACTTGCAACTAAAAAGGAGAACCTCTTGCTATTGATGCTGACACGTGACTTGATTGTGTATTTGATAATTGTTTATAATTCTTTAATATAACAATAGGAATAAGTCAATGTACTTCAAAGCTGTTGTATTTTTCAAATTGTTATTCCCTTTTCAAAAATTATCATGCTTTAAAATAATTAATTTGACTTTTCCTGTGGGGGCTTTGAGATCAGCCAGCAATGGTTTAGCAACCGTGTTTTACTTATTCACTTGTGGGATGTGGACACTGCTGGCTAATCAACATTTATTGCCCATCCCTAGTTGCCCTTGAGAAAGTGGCAGTGAACTGCCTTCTTGAACTGCTGCAATCCACCTGCTGTGGGTTGATCCACAATGCCATTAGGGAGGGAATTCCAGGATTTTGACTCGGTGTCAGTGAAGGAACAGTGATGTATTTCCAACACAGGATGGTGAGTGGCTTGGAGAGGAACTTGAAGATGGTAGTGTTCACACTGCTGCTACTGAGCATTGGTGGTGGAGGGAGTGGATGCTTGTGAATGTAGTGCCAATAAAGCAGGCTGCTTTGTCCTGGATGGTGTCAAGCTTCTTGTGTTGTTGGGGTTCCCCAGGCAAGTCGAGAGTATTCCATCATGTTCATGACTTGTACCTTGTAGATGGTGGAAAGGCTTTGTGGAGTCAGGAGGTGTATTACTTGCCACAGTACACCTAGCCTCTGAACTGCTCTTGTAGTACTCTGTGGTGAGTCTGGTTGACTTTCTGTTCAATGATAACCCCCAGGATGTTGATAGTGGGGGATTCAGTGATGGTAACACCATTGAATGTCAAGGGATGGTGGTCAGATTATCTCTTACTGGTGACAGTCATAGCCTGGCATTTGTGTGGCGCAAATGTTACTTGCCACTTGTTTGGATATTGTCCAGATCTTGTTGCATTTGAACATGGACTGCTTCAGTATCTGAGGAGTTAGCCGTGTTGAATGTGGTTTACCTCAAGATTCTCAATACTGAAGTTTCTAACAGAATAAATGTTGTTCAAAGTACTTGAAGTGTTTAAGGCTTTGTGTTCTTGTCACTTATGCTTTCACTTTTTTTTTGCCTCCTTGGTAGTATCGCATAATTTCACAGAATCATAACTGAGAGGAAGCAGGTCATTTGGCCCATTGAGACCACAGCACCCCTCCTGAGGAGCATCCCATCCAGTTCCACCCCCCTTCCTATCCCTATAACCCTGCATTTCCCATGGCATATCCCTGGACACTATGGGCAATTTAGCATGGCCAACTTTGTTATAAGGAAAAAAAAATCTGAATACATTGGCTGTGATTTTGTCAACCAGCCTCCTTAGTTTTCCGTGTATGCAAGAGATTTGTCTTGGATGATCAAAATTCTACCACTGGCCTTTGTAGTCAAGGCTTGTTTTATATCGCCTATAATATCAGCTTAATTTATATTCAGTCAATACTGTTGCGTATGATGAAATCAGGATAATGTTGAGCAACTTAAGCCAGCATTTTGTTGGCCAATGAAATATATTTTCTATTTAAAACTCTAGTTACATTACATGGTGGGAATTCTAAATTGTGAAATCTTTTTAATCTTCTATATTAATAGAATCATAGCATCATACAGCACAGAAACAGGCCCCTTGTCCCTACTCATCCATGCCAACTAAACTGAACTAGTCCCATTTGCCTGTTTAGGTGATGAGGCAAATTTCAACAAGGGAGCCTCCAAAATGTCTACCTTCTTCCTCAACCGGGGAATCCCTAGCACCGTTGTCGATAGGGCCTTCAACTCGGTCTGACCTGTCTCCCGCACTTCTGCCCTCACCCCTTCTCTTCCCTTCCACAACAGTTCCCCTTGTCGTCACCTACTGTCCCACCAGCATCCACATCCAGAAAATCATCAGAAGCCACTTCTGCCACCTCCAGCAAGATGCCACCATCAGACGCACATCTCCCTCCTATGCCTTGTCCGCCTTCCACAGGGGCCATCTCCTCCAGGACACCTTGGTCCACTCTTTCTTCCTTCACACCCCTCTCTCTCTCCTCCTCACCCCCGCCCCCCCAAACCCCACGGCAACTTCCCCTGCAACTGGTGCAGGTGCAACACCTGCCCATTTACCTCCTCCCTCCCCAGTATCCAAGGGCCCAAATGTACCTTCTGGGTGAAGCAACACTTCACCTGCATTTCCCAGAATCTAGTCTACTGAATCACTGCTAACAATGTGGTCTGCTCCACATTGGGGATATGAAGCGTAAACTGACTGACCGATTTGCAGAACATCTACGTTCTGCTTGCAAAAAAGACCAAGCTACCCATTGCCTGCCACTTTAACACACCACCACCCTGTTCCCTGGCCAACATCGATTTCACAAGCTTCAAAATCTCCCCTCCCCCTACCGCATCCCAAAACCAGTCCAGCTCGTCCCTGCCTCCCTAACCTGTTCTTCCTCCCATCTATCCCCTCCTCCCACCTCAAGCCGCACCTCCATCTCCTACCGACTAATCTCATCCCGCCCCCTTGACCTGTCCGTCCT